CTTCCACCGGAGATGAATATTTTCTACTCAGAGAAACAACCCGGCGTAGTTTTCACATTCCAGTGCATACACTTGTACGCTGTAATACATAACTCTGACATCTTTAAAAAGAGAATAACAATATAAATTTCACTTGCTAAAATGTTTTGGCTCTCATGATTGGGAAGCTTCCATTTCTCATTGAAGCCTGTTGTTTATTTTCTTTATTATCAATTATTATAATTCTTATCATCATAAATAGTACTTATATTATTATCATTATCATTATTGTTGGTGATGTTGCTGTTATTATTATCTTTATCCCCATTGCCATTGTCATCATCATCATTATCATTATTATTGCTGTTGTTGTTTTATTACTATTATCATTACTACTATTATCATCATTATTATTTTGTTATTATTATTATCATTTTTATTACCATTATTTTGTATCATTATTATTATTACTATTATCATTATGATAATTATTATCATTATGAAAATTATTAGCATTATGATAATTATTGTCATTATCATTATCGTTATCATCGTTATCAGTATTATTGCCACCGTCATTATCATATTCATTATGATTATTATCATTATTGTCATTTGCATATACCAAAGCCATAGCAACAATGGCTAAACAGCATATAAGGACTTGACTTTTTCTCTTTCTTTGTCAGAAGAAAACTTTCATTCAAAATGTTCATAGGTTTTTCGTTTCTTGATTACTGTGTGTATCAAACCTAAATATCTACGTTTACATAAATCTAATCATATTTGCATAAAATATTTATACGGCTCAGTTATGACAATTATTAACAGTATAATTTGCATATTGAGCAATATTGAATTATCATTATAATATTTACATATTAAGCAATAGCAGACTTATTTTTTTTCTGTCACTGACCATTAGGTTTTTCGTTTTCATGGTTACTGTGTATATTGCCACATTTTATTTCTTCTACATTTACATAGATCTATTCAGATTTTCGAGATCAACACCGCTAGGGAAGAACTGGGTTCTCGCCATCAGCATAGTTCACGAAGTAACTTCAGGACTTGTGCTGTTGGTGCTGGCACTTCAATCACCTGTTGTGCCTGTTTGTTGAGGACATACAGTACGTGTTTCCGTGGTGATGGAGGTACGACGATGGGATCTGGCCCTTGTCCTCCTCCAGGAGTTCGGATGAACACAATATTTGTGTCTATGGTAGGCTCAGGGATGTAAGGAGGAGGACCGTGGGAAATTGGTGGTGCTGGTGGTGCGTCATATAAGTAAACTCTACGGTTAATGTGTGGAATAACACACTTGCCGTCGACATGCAGCACGTGTCCGGGGCCGCATCCTCCTGTACCAAATCCTTAACTCGGACCCCCAATTCCAAAACTTTGTCCTGAAGGTGCACTTGGGTTTTAACTTTGAAGAATAGCTAATGACGTGGCCACGATTGTTGTGATTAAGACCTGCAAAATGAGAAAGTAGTGACATAGTTTACTTTATAAGAGCATTTATTTGTTTTATTTTTATTTATTTATTTTTTTCTTTCTTTCTCTTACCACTCCTTTCACACTTTTCAATTCGAGCATACTCACAGACACAACGGAGGTCTCACTTACCAGAAGCTTCATGTTGGAAGTAAGTGTTTTTGCGCGTAAAGTTCTGGCTTTTATATGTCACATTTCCTCTCGCTCCACTCTCCTGCACTCATCACCCTCACAGGTCGACCCAGAACCAACCTCGCTTTTATGGTGTTTTCCCTCTGTCGATGTGTGTTGTGGTATGCATGTGTTAACAAATTTGTAGGTCAGATGTACAAGGAAATAAATCCAATTCTTCTCTGTGACGTATACTCTACTCATACATAGGTCGCATTCGTTATGGTAGTTACCTTCTATTCATCTACCTCGATCTATTCACTCCTTCCAATCCTCTTTTTTTTCTGTCTCCACTGACCAAGTAGGTTTTTCGTTTCTTGATTACTGTGTGTATCAAACCTTATACATAGATCTATTCAGATTTTCAGTAAATTTTATGCAAATTCATTATTTTATACTCATACATGCCAGTCATATACAACGAAGCATAGGTAAAGAATCGTTCTTAAATATATTTTTTGGTTCATATTTATTAAATGAATGTATACAACAAAACAAACGTGAATATAAATTTCTTAAAGCTTTTCAGATAAAACCTTAGTTGGAAGTATACAATGGAAAAATCCAAATGGTAAACTTTATGGAGTACTGTATAGATTCAAGGGAGTGGAGACAACACTGGAGCCTCCGCCGAAACCACCTCCTGAGACCGCCACTTCCACCAGAGATAAATTCTCCACTATCGCCACCGCTTACGAAACCTCCGCTAATAACACCACCTCCGAATCCATCGCTAATTCCGTCTCCAAAGCCAACACCAACGCCTCCGCTGCCTCCGAAACCACCGCTGACATCGCCGCCAACAATTACTTGACCGCCTCCCTGGGGTAACTGCATTCAATGCAGTCTGGAGATCAACACCGCTAGGAAGAACTGGATTCTCGCCATCAACATAGTTCACGAAGTAAACTTCAGGACTTGTTGCTGTTGGTGCTGGCACTTCAATCACCCGTTGTGCCTGTTTGTTGAGGACATACAGTACGTGTTTCTGTTGTGGTGGAGGTACGACGATGGGATCTGGCCCTTGTCCTCCTTCAGGAGTTCGGATGAACACAATATTTGTGTCTATGGTTGGCTCAGGGATGTAAGGAGGAGGACCGTGGGAAATTGGTGGTGCTGGTGGTGCGTCATATAAGTAAACTCTACGGTTAATGTGTGGAGTAACACACTTCCCGTCGACATGCAGCACGTGTCCGGGGCCGCATCCTCCTGTACCAAATCCTGAACTCGGACCCCCAATTCCAAAACTTGGTCCTGAAGGTGCACTTAGGTTTTAACCTTGAAGAATAGCTAATGACGTGGCCACGATTGTTGTGATTAAGACCTGCAAAATGAGAAAGCAGTGACATAGTTTACTTTATAAGAGCATTTCATTTTTTCCCCCCTTCATACCACTCCTTACACACTTTTCAATTCGAGCAAACTCACAGACACATCAGAGGCCTCACTTACCAGGAGCTTCATGTTGGAAGTGTTTTTGCGCGTAAAGTTCTGGCTTTTATATGTCACATTTCCTCTCGCTCCACTCTCCTGCTACTCATTACCCTCACAGGTCGACCCAGAACCAACCTCGCCTTTATGGTGTTTTCCTCTGTCGATGTGTGTTGTGGTATGCATGTGTCAACAAATTTGTAGGTCAGATGTACAAGGAAATAAATCCGAATTCTTCTCTGTGACGTATACTCTACTCATACATAGGTCGCATTCGTTATGGTAGTTACCTTCTATTCATCTACCTCGATCTATTCACTCCTTCCAATCCCTTCTCTTGTCTCCCCTACCCACTCCCTTCCTCTACTACCCCACCATTCCCTTACCTTAGTGTGCGAGATAAGTTTTTTTCCAAGACTGATAATCAGAGGTGGAAGCTCTTATCTCATTTGTGTGTGAGGCAAACTAAACTCGTTCATTTATGCATGTGTAGGAATAAGTTCCTTATGCATTTCTTCTGTTTCTTCTTCAACTACAGTCCTGTCCATTTTTTTCCATTTTCTCTTCCTCCTTTTGTTAACACGTTCTTTTTTATCCATACTTGTATATTGGAAGAAATATAGATACCATAATGTCATTGTACCTGGGATATTAACACGTTCTCTTTTATCAATACTTGTATACTGGAAGAAATATTAATACCTTAAAAGCATTGTATCTGGTATATAGCTGGAACACAGCAGTTTGGTTATTTCAATAGCTTCTATTCAGATAAACACCCACTGTAGTTTCCACATTCCATTGTAAAAGAATATGTCATACATAATTCTGCCTTCCTTAAAAAGGGAATCACCATATATATTGTATTTATAATTTTTTGGTTTTCCAGTATGAGATGATTTAATTTCTTATTGAAGCCTATTGTTTATTTGCTTTATTATCAATTAATTAAACTGTCATCATCATTACTATTAGTACTTGCTTTCATTATTATCCTTATTCTTTTTAGTTTGATTATCATTATCATTAACTTTATTATCATAATTGTTATTATTACTGTTTTTTATCATTATCGTCGTCTTCACCATCATTGTTGTATTATTACTATTATTGTTACTACTACTATTTTTATTATGCTGTTATTAGTAGCATTATAACTATTATTATTATTATCATCACTTCATTATTATTATTACATCATTATTGTTATTTTACCCTTATCATTACTTTATTATTATTACTTCATTATTATCATTAATGTTATTAAAATTATTTTCTTTTATTATCCTCACCATTGCCACAATTGTCATCATGTTTCTTATGATTATTATGGTTATTATTGCTATTGCTATATACCATTATCAAACCAATAATACTTAAACCGTATAATGAATACTATACAATAAACATTCAAACTTTGTAACTTTCTATACTTGTGCATGTTGTGCAGCAACTATCACATGGAGCGAAGCATAGGTCAAGAATCATCTTTAGATATATTTTTTTTCACATTTATTAAACGAATGAACATACATCCGTATAACAAAACAAGACGTATAAATCGTGAACATAAATTCTTTAAAGCTTTTCGGATTAAACCTTAGTTGGAAATATATGATGGAAATATTCAAATGGTAAATTTTATGGAGTATTGTAAAGATTCGAGGGAGCGGAGATAACGCTGGAGCCTCCACCGAAACCACCTGTACTGAATCCACTTCCACTTCCACCGGAGATAAATTCTCCACTATCGCCACCACTTACAAAGCCTCCGCTAATAACACCACCTCCGAATCCACCGCTAATTCCGTCTCCAAAACCACCGCCAACACCTCCGCTGCCTCCGAAACCACCGCCAACACCTCCGCTGCCTCCGAAACCACCGCCAACACCTCCGCTGCCTCCGAAACCACCACCGACACCGCCGCCACCAATCACTTGACCGCCTCCCTGGGAAGCTGCATTCAAGGCACTCTGGAGATCAACACCGCTGGGAAGAACTGGGTTCTCGCCATCAGCGTAGTTCACGAAGTAAACTTCAGGACTGGTTGCTGGTGGTGCTGGCACTTCAATCACTTCCTGTCCTTGTTGTGCCTGTTTGTTGAGGACATACAGGACGTGTTTCTGTTGTGGTGGAGGTACGACGATGGGATCTGGTCCTTGTCCTCCTTCAGGAGTTCGGATGAACACAATATTTGTGTCTATGGTTGGCTCAGGGATGTAAGGAGGAGGACCGTGGGGAATTGGTGGTGCTGGTGGCGCGTCATATAAGTACACTTTGCGATTGACGCGTGGAGTGACACACCTGCCGTCGACATGCAGGACCTGTCCGGGGCCGCATCCTCCTGAGCCATATCCTGGGCTCGAACCTCCTATTCCAAAACTTGGTCCTGAGGGCGTACCCAGACTGTAGCCCTGAGGTGTGGCTAATGACGTAGCCACGAGTGTTGAGAGTAAGACCTGCAAAATGAGAAAGCAATGTGATATATTGCCAAATAATGATCTCAGCATTCTGTTGATTCAGTTGATCCAATTTAATTCATTTTCCTAGTAACATTTCTATTCGAACACACTGGCAATAGAGACCTGACTTACCAGGAGCTTCATGTCGGAAGTAATGCTTTCCCGCGCTTGGCGCCGCCTTTTATATCCACATTTCCTCTCACTCCACCATTCTCCTGCTCTCCTCCTCATCACCCTCAAAGGTCGCCCTAGATCCTACCCCGCCCAGCTCGGTGACTCCGAAACCACCGCCAACACCTCCGCTGCCTCCGAAACCACCGCCAACACCTCCGCTGCCTCCGAAACCACCGCCAACACCTCCGCTGCCTCCGAAACCACCGCCAACACCTCCGCTGCCTCCGAAACCACCGCCAACACCTCCGCTGCCTCCGAAACCACCGCCAACACCTCCGCTGCCTCCGAAACCACCGCCAACACCTCCGCTGCCTCCGAAACCACCGCCAACACCTCCGCTGCCTCCGAAACCACCGCCAACACCTCCGCTGCCTCCGAAACCACCGCCAACACCTCCGCTGCCTCCGAAACCACCGCCAACACCTCCGCTGCCTCCGAAACCACCGCCAACACCTCCGCTGCCTCCGAAACCACCGCCAACACCTCCGCTGCCTCCGAAACCACCGCCAACACCTCCGCTGCCTCCGAAACCACCGCCAACACCTCCGCTGCCTCCGAAACCACCGCCAACACCTCCGCTGCCTCCGAAACCACCGCCAACACCTCCGCTGCCTCCGAAACCACCGCCAACACCTCCGCTGCCTCCGAAACCACCGCCAACACCTCCGCTGCCTCCGAAACCACCGCCAACACCTCCGCTGCCTCCGAAACCACCGCCAACACCTCCGCTGCCTCCGAAACCACCGCCAACACCTCCGCTGCCTCCGAAACCACCGCCAACACCTCCGCTGCCTCCGAAACCACCGCCAACACCTCCGCTGCCTCCGAAACCACCGCCAACACCTCCGCTGCCTCCGAAACCACCGCCAACACCTCCGCTGCCTCCGAAACCACCGCCAACACCTCCGCTGCCTCCGAAACCACCGCCAACACCTCCGCTGCCTCCGAAACCACCGCCAACACCTCCGCTGCCTCCGAAACCACCGCCAACACCTCCGCTGCCTCCGAAACCACCGCCAACACCTCCGCTGCCTCCGAAACCACCGCCAACACCTCCGCTGCCTCCGAAACCACCGCCAACACCTCCGCTGCCTCCGAAACCACCGCCAACACCTCCGCTGCCTCCGAAACCACCGCCAACACCTCCGCTGCCTCCGAAACCACCGCCAACACCTCCGCTGCCTCCGAAACCACCGCCAACACCTCCGCTGCCTCCGAAACCACCGCCAACACCTCCGCTGCCTCCGAAACCACCGCCAACACCTCCGCTGCCTCCGAAACCACCGCCAACACCTCCGCTGCCTCCGAAACCACCGCCAACACCTCCGCTGCCTCCGAAACCACCGCCAACACCTCCGCTGCCTCCGAAACCACCGCCAACACCTCCGCTGCCTCCGAAACCACCGCCAACACCTCCGCTGCCTCCGAAACCACCGCCAACACCTCCGCTGCCTCCGAAACCACCGCCAACACCTCCGCTGCCTCCGAAACCACCGCCAACACCTCCGCTGCCTCCGAAACCACCGCCAACACCTCCGCTGCCTCCGAAACCACCGCCAACACCTCCGCTGCCTCCGAAACCACCGCCAACACCTCCGCTGCCTCCGAAACCACCGCCAACACCTCCGCTGCCTCCGAAACCACCGCCAACACCTCCGCTGCCTCCGAAACCACCGCCAACACCTCCGCTGCCTCCGAAACCACCGCCAACACCTCCGCTGCCTCCGAAACCACCGCCAACACCTCCGCTGCCTCCGAAACCACCGCCAACACCTCCGCTGCCTCCGAAACCACCGCCAACACCTCCGCTGCCTCCGAAACCACCGCCAACACCTCCGCTGCCTCCGAAACCACCGCCAACACCTCCGCTGCCTCCGAAACCACCGCCAACACCTCCGCTGCCTCCGAAACCACCGCCAACACCTCCGCTGCCTCCGAAACCACCGCCAACACCTCCGCTGCCTCCGAAACCACCGCCAACACCTCCGCTGCCTCCGAAACCACCGCCAACACCTCCGCTGCCTCCGAAACCACCGCCAACACCTCCGCTGCCTCCGAAACCACCGCCAACACCTCCGCTGCCTCCGAAACCACCGCCAACACCTCCGCTGCCTCCGAAACCACCGCCAACACCTCCGCTGCCTCCGAAACCACCGCCAACACCTCCGCTGCCTCCGAAACCACCGCCAACACCTCCGCTGCCTCCGAAACCACCGCCAACACCTCCGCTGCCTCCGAAACCACCGCCAACACCTCCGCTGCCTCCGAAACCACCGCCAACACCTCCGCTGCCTCCGAAACCACCGCCAACACCTCCGCTGCCTCCGAAACCACCGCCAACACCTCCGCTGCCTCCGAAACCACCGCCAACACCTCCGCTGCCTCCGAAACCACCGCCAACACCTCCGCTGCCTCCGAAACCACCGCCAACACCTCCGCTGCCTCCGAAACCACCGCCAACACCTCCGCTGCCTCCGAAACCACCGCCAACACCTCCGCTGCCTCCGAAACCACCGCCAACACCTCCGCTGCCTCCGAAACCACCGCCAACACCTCCGCTGCCTCCGAAACCACCGCCAACACCTCCGCTGCCTCCGAAACCACCGCCAACACCTCCGCTGCCTCCGAAACCACCGCCAACACCTCCGCTGCCTCCGAAACCACCGCCAACACCTCCGCTGCCTCCGAAACCACCGCCAACACCTCCGCTGCCTCCGAAACCACCGCCAACACCTCCGCTGCCTCCGAAACCACCGCCAACACCTCCGCTGCCTCCGAAACCACCGCCAACACCTCCGCTGCCTCCGAAACCACCGCCAACACCTCCGCTGCCTCCGAAACCACCGCCAACACCTCCGCTGCCTCCGAAACCACCGCCAACACCTCCGCTGCCTCCGAAACCACCGCCAACACCTCCGCTGCCTCCGAAACCACCGCCAACACCTCCGCTGCCTCCGAAACCACCGCCAACACCTCCGCTGCCTCCGAAACCACCGCCAACACCTCCGCTGCCTCCGAAACCACCGCCAACACCTCCGCTGCCTCCGAAACCACCGCCAACACCTCCGCTGCCTCCGAAACCACCGCCAACACCTCCGCTGCCTCCGAAACCACCGCCAACACCTCCGCTGCCTCCGAAACCACCGCCAACACCTCCGCTGCCTCCGAAACCACCGCCAACACCTCCGCTGCCTCCGAAACCACCGCCAACACCTCCGCTGCCTCCGAAACCACCGCCAACACCTCCGCTGCCTCCGAAACCACCGCCAACACCTCCGCTGCCTCCGAAACCACCGCCAACACCTCCGCTGCCTCCGAAACCACCGCCAACACCTCCGCTGCCTCCGAAACCACCGCCAACACCTCCGCTGCCTCCGAAACCACCGCCAACACCTCCGCTGCCTCCGAAACCACCGCCAACACCTCCGCTGCCTCCGAAACCACCGCCAACACCTCCGCTGCCTCCGAAACCACCGCCAACACCTCCGCTGCCTCCGAAACCACCGCCAACACCTCCGCTGCCTCCGAAACCACCGCCAACACCTCCGCTGCCTCCGAAACCACCGCCAACACCTCCGCTGCCTCCGAAACCACCGCCAACACCTCCGCTGCCTCCGAAACCACCGCCAACACCTCTGCTCCCTTTTCTTTTAATTGTCTTTCATCTACGTTTTTCTTTTTTCTTTACTATATGCGTTCGTGTACGTGTTCAAATATGTTAGGATATGCATCGAGATCGTAAGATCTTAATGCGGACAGTATGAAATGGTATAAAACACATTAGTAGTATATATGCCTCTATATGTTTTGTTGTACATATTTCTTTTTTAATTAGTATGACTATTAATTACTTCCTTTGTTTGAATAAGAAAGTCAAGGTAACATAGATTTTGAGCTCGTAAAAAGAGAAATACATCTACGTAAATTTTATTTGTAAGCAACGGTTTGTTTTAGTTCCCGTGTATGGAAGACCATTGTTTATTTTCTTTTTATCTACCAATCCTCAAATAAATCATAGTTTGTGTATGATCTAAAATATGGAGCCATTCACCCAAAAAGGAAGTGATGTTTCGTCCGAAATCTGGGGAGAAACATTTTTAATTATTGTATACTGTCTTTCTTTCATCTAGACCTACATTGTGTGTGTGTGTGTGTGTGTGTGTGTGTGTGGCGATGATGAGCCCTCGATTTCCATTTTAAAATTGTCCCTACACACGGTGAACGAAAGAAAACGCTTATTTTTAATACTAAACCACAAGACTACTGTTATTTGTGTATATGAAAACGTTTGCGTTCCCATGCGCAGTTCTGCAGAACAGAGGTAAAGTCGAATCGATCTTATATTTGAATTTATTAAAAACTAATCAGCAATACATAAAAACGATTTCTTTTTTTTTCTTTTTTCTTTCTTTTTTTTGTAAACAGAGCAATATCAAACCTATAGTGGCTGAGTCTGTATAAGTCTTTGAATCTAATGTCGATAAGAGATGCTTAGAGGTGAAGATTTTTTTCTTTGACCACTATAGGCCTACATGTTATCATAGTATTTTCTTCTATGTTTTCAGCTAAATCGACAAAGACTTCTCGTGGTATTTTACTCAACTGCATTATAACATATTCGCTTGATTTTTCTTATAAATTGACCGTTGCACTTGGCAGGTAAAAATATATACACATATATAGAGATATATAAGTTCATAAAGCCAAAACCATAAAATAACTTATACTTGTGTTTGTAAGTGTATAGATATGTATACAAATGCCTTTGCTTTTTATGCAGCAGAACATAGGTCAAGAATTGTTCATCTATTTTTCTTTTCTTTATTGAAATATATATACACATCCATAAGAGACAACAAAACTCGTTTAGGATTCAAGACTATAAAGTTTATAAAGCCATATAAACAAGCTAATGAGAAGAATATACTATTAAGATGCTCAGATGGAGACCTCTAAGGTGTACTGTAAAGATTTGATGGAGTGGAAACAACGGAACCTCCACCGAAACCACCTCCTGTGATAAATCCACCAGAGATAAATTCTC